TTTTCCTGAGGAGCTCTTTTGCTTGGCGTTTGTAGTTCTAAAAATAAAGTTAGTTTCTTTTGACAAGTGGCTCCTGAATTGTGCCCAGCCAGACTGCGGCAATAGTTGTACAGAATGGTGGGATTTGTTGTTAAATATTCATATATGCACACATTATAGCAATATAATTTGACCAATATAATTCCCCAGGATTTCCCCTTATGCTCCCATCCCCCCTGATCCTGTTCCCTTCCCTCTACTGTTCTCCTTGATTTTCATGAGACACCCCCCCCTACTTTTCTTTCCTTTTTTTTCCTCTCCAGCTTCCACATGTGAGAGAAAAACATTTAACCCTTGACTTCTGAGTTTGGTTTATTTTGCTGAACATAATAAAACATGCAATCTTAAATCACTATGTTAATGGTATTGTGTATATTTTGGAAACTCAGYTTAAGATAAATTTTATAGATATTATAATGATAAACTTCTCAACTGAGGATATGTACCTGTGAATAAATACCGGTGGCATGATTAATAAATTCAATATTGGCATTCTTACATTTTAGGCAAGGCTCATTTTGTATTTTTAATGCAACAAAGGCTTCATCTTTTGCTGTATTCAGAGTGAGCATATGATATTTTAATAATAATAAACACATCAAATATGATGCCATCCTGAAATATTTTAAAATATTCTAAGCTTGGAATGGAAAAACTTCCTTTTTGATTTGAAACCCACAGGTTTATAGGAAAAAATGAAACTGAACTWACTTAATTTAGTCTCTATTCATCTTAACCTCAATCAGAAATATGAAGCACCCCAGTTCATTTGTTGTAAAAATAATCAGAAACCAGAATACAGCAAACTTTGATCATAGCATTTAATATATTAAATTTAGTTCTCTATTATGGATAGATAATAAAGGCAGCTAGAACAAGAAACGCATTACAGAGACAAAAAATTTAGACAGACACACACAAACTAAAGGGACAATTGAGTATTCACCAAAAAATCYGCCAAAAATATATGCATCCACACTTCATAAACTATATACCCTTGGAAAAGAGGCAGAGAGGATATGTAAGGGGTATATAATAAATGATTAATTAGAGACTAAACCCAAGAGAGACTAAACCCAAGACATGGATTTCCATTACATTACATTACATTCCCATTTGATGGCTTTCCAGTCTATCAATATTATTTTGCATATTTACCACCCTCAGCATAATATATTGGCATTTGGCAGAAGACCAGAGGAAATTAAAGGCTCATTTTCTTTCAAAAATAAGGATAAATGATGAGGTAAAAAGAAATCCTATAAATGATCAGAGTCTCTTACCAAGCAATTGGCCTTCAAACTGAATAGTAAACAGAATTCTAACTCAGTTTCACTGTTGTCTTTTTTTCATTCAGAAAATAAGTTTAGTTGATCACCACCGATCCCATGAGCTTGGCATTTTTCAAGTTCAGATTCACAATGACACAAAACCGCTAACTCTGTGCACGTCAGACCTATTCAGGAGTGTTTGCACTTCTACATAAATGAACAGCATTTGCCATGGAGCTGGTGCACACCAGACACCCCAGACTCCTCAGTACCTGTTGTTTATCCAGACGCATCCTCTTAGCAGCATTTCTACTCTCACTCTCACAGGCTGAAGCCAAGATACTCTCTGCAACTGCTGAAGTAAGGTGGGAAGGAATAGGTCGAGACTAAAAAAAAGAGAGAGAAAAGAAATAYGAAAAAATTATTAACAGTATCATGAAAACGGAACAGTGCTATCTTCAGAAGAGAACCATCAACATGTGCAGGAGTATCCATTCATTTCAATTGACTTTATTTGAAYAGAGAGAGGAAATGGAAATTGTAAAGATGATAAATGAAAGCTAGTTAGAGGTTAAAGCTAGAGTTACTACACAGATCCATCATTCATTCCTGAGGCTCCATTGACACACGTATTTAGTCAGGGCCATTAAACTGGAGTTTGATCAGACAGTGGCAAAATGGCCCACTGGATTTTGCAAATAAAACAAGTCCTATAGTTCTTTCATAACATATGACAATGCACAGCAAAACAAGCAAAACRAAAAACAAATGACAGGGCTGAAACACAGTTGGAAAAGCTAACAGAAACTCACACCATGTCAAATAATTTTCATGTGAAGATAGTGAATATTTACAGTTTAAGCTGTGACACAATTGATGTGATTAAAAGACTTTAAAAAATAATCTTGTTTAAATACAAGCTAAAAAGCCAGTCCTAGAGCRGTTTCCATATTCCAAAAGTTTGATGTTTATTTAGATGSGAGATTATTTGCCAGTGCGTGTAAAAACATGTTTTATTTTATATATAAAATATGAGTTTATATTAATAATTTAATCATATATGTTGGAAATCCATCTTCTACACAGACCAACAGAGAAATTTAATTAATTCCCCCAACTAAGCTCCTAATTAACTATAAATTGTTTGCGACTCTCCATATCATTTGTGATAATCACAGAAAAATTTTCATTCTTTTTCCCCATAATTACATGCAAAATCATCTAACTGAAAGATGAAGTAGTTAATGATATAGAACATTTTTAATTAAGATAAGCAAATGATTGATAAAAAATGACATGAAAATTAAATGACATGAGATAGTAAAATAATTTAAAATTACAGAATAAAAGTATCTTTGAAGAATCTAGCRTGGACAGTGGCATCATAGGGTTTTCAAAGCCTTGGTCCAAAATATGTAGGGATACCATTCATTAGAAGTCTCTGAACTAATTAAGACTCTTTAAATGTTTTTTTTTTTTTTTTTCCCGAAGGAACACATACATGTCTTTCTTGTACGTGTTTTATTTTACTAACTCTGGCATTTAAAACATGTTTTAGCTGATTTAACCATGAAGCTTAGGTCTCAAATAATATTCCAGAACAGCTACATTCAGACAGTGTTTCTGCAAAACCCTGTAGCCTGTGCAGGTAAAGGCCAAGAAAGGTGCAGGATCCTCGGTCTGCTAACCTTGTGAGATATCCAAAAGGAAGGCTGGGCCACTGTGACAACAGAGAAATAGGTTGGTCTAAAGGCATTTTTTTGCCAAATGGAGAGAGAAGCCCCTGAAATGGCAGAAAGCATGCAGCAGAAGCAGTTTAAGAAGGAAATCAAAAGGCCAGGACTATATCTTGGGAACAGTTAAGAAGTTCAAATTAAATAAAACTAAAAATATTGTCACATGGGCTGGGGTTGTAACTCAGTAGTCGAGCACTTGCCTTGCATGTGTGAGGCACTGGGTTCAATCCTCAGCACCATATAAAAATAATAAATAAAGATATTGTGTGTGTGTGTGTATATATATATAAATGTATATATATGTGTGTATAAATATGTGTGTGTGTGAGTGTGTGTGTGTATATATGATATATGATATATATATATATGTATATATATATATATATGGTCACATAATAATATACATAATGATCATACGTATATATGGTCACATAATGATAGAAGCATAATTTAAAAACATATATTGCTTCTTCATTTCCTTCTCTACTTCATTAATATAAAGTAATCTAGTCCAAAATTATGTAAACATTAAGCTAGAAAATATTAAATATATAAATATTAAGCTATAAAATTAGTGTCTCATTAAAAGATGACCACTGCTGGGTTCAACATTGTAACCAAAACCTAAGCCACATGTTCTTGATGGAACCATTTTTTGAGAAAAAAACTGTTACAGGAAAAGTGGGAATAAAAAATTCTGTTATAAAAAAATGAAAACAAATTATTTGATTGTAGTTAGCATTTTTCAGATAGGATAATTCATAATTTTATAAACTATATTTTTAGATCCTTCATCTGGTCCTAGGAATAGAATTGAACTAAATAAAATATCAGCAAACTCCCTTTTTGTAATCCAATTCTTGATAGCCATATAGCACTCATAAATATATATACTTCTGTTCCTTGTTATCTCAATTTTTCTCTATTTATTAGGTGTCTCTCTTCCAAATTAGGAATATATAAAGCTAAGGAATGTTTTAAACATTCATGTAGAAAGACCTGGATTCATATATAAGTCTAATGGTAAGTTGGAAATAATAGTCCATATTAAGGAATTGTTCTCATTTTACAACTAAGGCCTCCTTGAAGCTCAGTGAGCTTACTACACATTCCTAAAGAGGATTCCTTTACAACTAACTCCATTTTGCATTTAAGCAAAGAATACATTAGAATCTCCCTAGCACTCTTTAGGTGCTTAATCCCATTGTTCTATATTCATATTAATTCTTTAAAACTTTTCATTTATAACAAAAAATAAAAGTGTAACTTTTCTAAGTTATGCCACAAGTTCTAAATGCTGCAATAAAAATTCTCAAGATTGTAGCAAGAAAGTAGCAAGAAAATGTCTAGTTATGAAGTAAAATGAAGCTTAGTTTCATGTCCAAAATGTGTGGGATAATCATACTAAAAATCTCTTTTCTTCTGATTGATGAGTTGATAATAAATGTCAGTGGTCCCCAGTACACATGAAGCTCAATGACATTGTACCTAATCATAAGATACTAAAGATGAAAGTGATTGACTTATGTTTCATCCATATTTGGCTTTTATTCATTACCTAAATTGAAAATGCTCATATCAAGAAACTGAAAAGGAAATTAATAAATTTTGATCTTCATAAGCCATTTTTTATCATAGAGAAGTTTGAAATTTTTATTTAGTATGAAGTCTGAGAACCATCATCATCTGGATTCTTTCTGTCACCACATTTAATAGTTTCTCAACTCATTCTACTATCACCACTTCAGGGCCTTCCTGGCACAAAATCATGTGCTAAGGGCTATGACCAGATTCCACCTGAGACAAGGGCTAGAGATTCCCTTTTATGTCACAAAGAGTGGCTATAAAACAAAAGCATCCATGTAATAACTGGAGATGAGAACATCTGGCAGAAATCTCAAATGCAAAAAAATCAAACAGTTTATGGAAAACAATACTTCCTCTGGTGGAAGATATCAGGGTAAAGAAAATATTTGATATATTTGATATATATCATAAAAGAGGATTTAAAATAATAATTAAAATGTGCATAATTATAAACTTTTCATGATCTAGACCCAGATTAAGGTTTGTTACCTATTTCTTTCCCTGGATATAAGATTCTGCCCTCACTAATTATCTCTTCATAATTAACAGTCATTCTCCACTGGGATCTGAGTTGAACTTTCCGAAGCACAGTTCTTATCATAATAATTATCTAGGCTCAAATCAGTGATGGTTGTCTCATCCAACAGATGGCTAAACTGTCACATGCAGCTTCTGGAGTTTAAAAAGTCGTATTTTAATTGGAACTTAAGATGTGATTGCTGTTGGCACAATATAAATGTGTCTTTCTTTACAGATGCAGTGAAACTTGTCACCACACCAACATACTATTCGTTTTTTTTTTTTTTGTTTTGTTTTGTTTTTTTGGTCTGAAAACTATAAATTAAATGAATTTAGGGTTCTCTGAACTTGGTCTATATAAAGATGCTGCAGGATTTTTACAAGTATAAAAAAGTTTTAAAAGAAAGAAAAGGATGGAAAAATTCCCACTGCATTCAATACCCCTTCCCATAAATAAAAAGAAAAAAAGAGATTATTCCTTACTCTTTTTACTTTATAAAATACATAATTAAGAATTTTGCAATGAATGATAGGCATACACCATCTCCCCCAAATGATGTATCTATGCCTAAAGACATAACTACACAGGCTGTGTAGAAAGTTTTAGCTTGTAAAGGATCCCTTTTATTAACCAGGTAGCTTCATTCATAGACAGTAGTAGAATAGATAAGTTAGTAAAGAAGCGAGAGGAACCTGGATATTATTCTGTAATCAGCCTTTTACCACATATGTGGCAGTGTTTRTGATTTAATTTCCCTGAGCCCAAGTCATTCAGCAAGGTATCATTATTTTTACTTATATAAAAGTAATGGGTTGAGTGAGCAATAATAGGAAAAATAATGTTACATCATAGAGGATTCCAGGAAGCAATATACACAAAGTCACTACTACCTTCATTTATTTATTCAACAAATATATTTGGTAAGCACTATCCATGTGTCAGGAATTGTGCCAAGTATAGAGAGATAAACAGCAACACTACCAATACTGTCTCTACCATCAGAGTTGTCTTTACAAGTGAGTGCAATGCCCAGCACAGAGGGTTTAATACCCTTACAATAAGGAATATTAATTATTGATTTACAACTTTTTATAAGCAATGCTGAATCCTAATATATAAACTCAAGTAATTTTCAAAAACTGGGAGTTAAYTCAGTTGGCAAAAATATGCCAAATACTTCCTCTTTTTCCTAATTTATATAAATATTTACATAGTTATTGCAGAAATGCTAAGGTATTTGTATATGAGATGTTTTCCCAGACCCCATTCTGAGTGAAATAAACAGAATATGTACTCTATAATGTCCTAAAATCTGAAAATTTCTGAGTTCAGAACCACAGATAACCCAAAATTTCAAATAAGGGTTGTGGAGGTGTCTAAAAGAATGAACCAGGGCTGGGGATGTGGCTCAAGTGGTAGCACGCTCGCCTGGCATGCGTGCGGCCCGGGTTCGATCCTCAGCACCACATACCAACAAAGATGTTGTGTCCGCCGAGAACTAAAAAATAAATATTAAAAAAAAATTCTCTNCCTCTCTCACTCT